GCAACTCTAAGGTGAATATTATATATCGTTATATATATACATATTAATTACTATAAATTATATTTAGTAAATTCAGTTCATTTGAATAATTTAAAAAGAAACTTAGAGATTGTATAAAGTTTTAAGAGATATATAAATATATTTATATAAAACCTATAAAAGTTTCTACTTAAACATTTTTTTAATTTATAAAATTATGTTATTATATGTATATTTATATGTAGTTTATTATTGTCATGCATGAAATATCAAGTTTGGCGCGTCCAATAATAATGTTTTAAAATAGTAATTAATTTGAATGCTGATATATATTTTAAATTTTACATTTGTGTTACAGACAACGTAAGTTCGAACATCAACTACTTCGCAGTTGTGCATCGCAATGGTGAGTGAGATAAACTTTTATTTGATTTTAAGGTGACGAATTTATAGATCGTAGTTGCAGATTGTAGATAGAGAAATTCGTTGCCTCAAAATGGATAGACTAAAATGAATTAGATCAAAGTTACTTAGAACTATTGATAGATGCTTTTAATATATTTGCATAATTAAAGGATAAATTAAAGAAAGATATAAAGAATTTTAATTCAAATTTCACTCATTTATTTTATTTAAAGAACGCGCTTGTGATTTTATTAATTGTGATTTGATTTATTGATTGCATTAATAATTATTCTTTTAACAAACATTGATTATCCTAATTTTTTGTTGTAGTCTATTCATCTATGTGTGATATATGAAAATACTTTACTTTGATTGATGTAATTCCAAGTTATCGATCAATTAAATAATGTATTTAACATGAATATTTTAATGAATTTTATTTTATTATAAATTTATTATAAGTAATAACATTATATATAATACATATATAATATATACATATACCTATACATATATTATTAGAAAAATATCACTGAAATTATTTTGATTGATGACTGGGCGTTATGTTAATTAAAGCAAAATTAAAGTTAACGATGTATAACAAACAATCGTGATTTCTTACGATCATATCCGAGCGTAAAATTATACTCATGTATCGGCGATTATAATGTAAGCCAGAATGTGGCCAATAAAGGTAAGTCCACTGGCCAAAAAATAGTTGATTTAATCGTGTAAATAATACTATTATAAAATACGGGTAAATAGCGTAAATACGATATATTCGATTTCTAATATTGGATATTTAACATGCATAATTGAAAATGCATAAATAAATATATACATATACATATATACAATTCTTTGATTGGGTATGTGTGTGCATTATCTAAAATGTACATGTATATACAAATATACATATAATAAGAGAGAATCTGTTAGCCTTGCGTTTTTCGTAAAACATGTTAGGTAGTGTAATATTAAATGATGAAAACGATAGGGGCTGAAGGTTCAAAATTAAAAGTTTGGCGGAATATCGTAATCGACAGGGTCGGTTGCAGTTTCGTGAGTCCTCGTACTTTTAGTCCGAGGGGCACAGAACGGCACGCAATAATCGGGGCGGGTTCTATCGCGTGGCTCGATCGTTTGGAGCTTGCTATCTGGAATCTTGATCGCTTCTGATCGAGCAATTATTCCGTGGCACTTCAATTTTCCACGATAAATTTTTACCGCGATCACCGAACCGGAGGAGGACATGCCAAAGCGCGGCAACATGAGAGGGTAACGGGAAAAATTTGTCGGAAAAATGGATAGCCATTGTCTTCGGCCTGACGGAAGGTAGAGACGAAATTGAGCCATCGATTATCGTCCGCAGGTTTGCATAGAAATTGCTGAAAATGTGAAAACCGATTTTGCAATATTTCGCGACTATAGCGATTAATTCATTGAAATAAACGCCAAGGGTTTTTTTTCTAACTTGCTCTTTAAGATACTATCTCTCTTATTTCTCTCGTTAATAATTTGAAGCATGCGCGACAGGGAATGTATACGTTTCAATATAGTTTGATAGCTCAATTCTTGCTAAATGGAAATTTCGAAATCGCGACTTGCATACAATAAATGCAAATGCGAATGAAATTAATGCAAATATACGATGCGACCATATGATTGCATATAGGGTGATAAATATAATATAAGTGCGTTATCTCTCTCTCTCTCTCATTCTCGAGTAGCTGAAAATGTACGTTTCGCAACTCCTTCCCGTACGTTCTCGCGCGCGTGAGAATTTACATAACGGCATTTTATGCACGCTAGATATCATGCGTGCAATAGTCAGGCGTCAGACTTGTTCAGCCGCGCACAGAGTATCACAGACGTACGTATAACATGGGCCAACTTGAGGAGCCTCCAGGCAAATCGACGATGTGTGTAATCGAGCGACAGTGGTTGTGTAGCAGTCAGTAGCTGAGGAGAGGAACCGAGAAGGACTGTATGCGCTGTACACAGCCCTTCTAGCTTGCCGGGAGTTTCGAGGTTGTGTTGAAGGGGATATATCATCGGACTCCCCGTGATACAGTGTCCTTCATGCACATTTCGTTGGATCGTACATCACTCCCGACGTTACCACCCCGTAGCGCGCACAAGCAGGCCTTCCGATAGAATTACGTAATACGCGACGTCTTCGACCTCCTCTTCTGGAGAAGACGCCTAAAGCGTTTCCGTATCAAAGCAAAGTTTCGAAATAGAGAATCTACTTTTTTGACACACGAGAGAGAGAGAGAGAAAACTGGTTCCTTTATATCGCTATAGCCTTCGAATCTGTGTACAGGAATCGATAGTCTAAAGTTTCGCGTTCGCTGTTTTTTTTTCCAATTACTCCTCGGGTTCCTTTATCGGATGCGCCTGGAGAATAGTTTTCCGTAGTTATACGATGGTTTCCGTTAGGCAATTTAAGTAAAATATACAAGCGTCTGCGATGCAAAGAAAACTAACTTTTGATTTGATATACATTTTCTCTTTTCTCTTCGTCCCTCTGGTTTCTATCTCTTGATATTAACCGAGAAAGAATCGCATCTTCTCGCGAGTAATCGAAACAGTTATCGAACGCATCGCATTTCATCTTCAGGCAATCCTCGGGTGAATCTATAATTTTCATAGTCAAACTAGGATCCGATGCCCGAGGATTGATTGACGAGATTCCCTTTGATGGCGTATTGTCAGAGAGATAACCTGAATAGAATGAGCTTATTGCGTATATTCGAATATACACATACGCACATATGCGTGTGTGTGTGTGTGTGTGTATGTTAAAATTTTCATTTGCACGCGTACAGTCAGTGCACGTTGAATAAAATGAGTAATCTCTTTTCTCTTTTATGTAAAAATATTCGAAACTTTTTTTCTCACATTTTATACTGTCATCTTTAAAGAATTATATTAATATTTGATTAGATTTCATTTATCGATATAGTAAAGTATTAGCCGTAACAACAAAATCATTTAAATATATTTTATTTTTAAGCGTTAAAGACATTCGGCCAAACATTTAATGCAATTCTTATTGTATGTATAATAAACAGAATAATTAGAATCGTGAATAATGTATGCAATGGAACATTATTTTTAATTTTACTTTTAATTTGTAATTAGCTAAACACATTTGATAAATTCAATTCAATGCAATTTTTACATTTAATAAACAGAGTTTAAAATCACAAACAATATGATAGAAAATGTTTAATCTTTTTTGTGCAAATTTTTGATCGTGTTTAAAATAACATGTTAATTGTTATTTCACTGTATAATCGATTTTTTTTGTTAAGTAAAAATAATATAACTCTCTTCAAAGAAAATTCCCTCGAGGTTTTTAGAATGTCCACTTACATGCCATTCTTTGGATACGGACTTCTTTGTTTGTGTTCGTACTGCGTGGCAGAGGAAACTCTTTTCAGATTTGAATGTTTTATCACGTAGAGTGGTATCGATTCTATTTCTATGTGACTGCTAGAGAAGACGTCTAGTGTTGGAGCGCAGAATTTAAATCATTTCGCGCTACATCGCGCTACGCAAATATTCCACACTTATGTCTCTACATGGAGAGGCCGCGCTTCAGCAAAGTAAATATAATTTAACTCGAATTATATAAATCTCATGCTGCGCGTATGCCATGGAGAAGATATCTTTGAACTCGGAATTATAAATCAGATTAATAAGCCAGTCTCAACATTCTGAATCGCCACATTTGTGTGAATCTTTTGGTTGCAATTTTATTTTATCGGATTTATTTTATCTTAATATATTGACATTTTTCGATTGATAAGTTTCTTAAAGTTATTTAATTTATCAATTATCTTTATGGGTGTTATCCTTATTGAGAGAGTTATAATATATATATACGACGAGATAATATACATACACATAATGTGTATATTATAATTATTATTTTATTGTATATTAAAAATCGATTTTATACGGTATTTTTTTATACACGACATATAAGAGAAAAAACTCGATTTTAATGTCAATTTCAGTAAGTCTTATTAGAAGTTAATTCAAGAAATAACAAATTTATACACATATATTTTTTCTTTATTATATTATATTAAAATATGAAAATAAATTTTAGCTGTCCCTATATATACACATGAAATTTAATTATCAGCTGTGATAGCTAATATTTTTTACCTATAGCATTCTCCGTTAAACTACAACTAAAACCATTAGTTACATAATATATGGACAGTTAAAATTTAGTTACGGTAGCAAATTTTTTATCCTTGATTATATTCTTGATTGACAATGATTTAAAAAAAAAACAGCCTATTGTTTCATCCACCTCCCTGCATATCATACTTTCCTATTTTCTCGCGTTATTTCAACTGCGCATTCATCTGTAGCGACGCGTGAAATAAGTCCGACTGCGAGAGAAGGCTTAAGAGCCCTCTCGTCCCGCCATAATCACCGAGATCTAAGTAAATCCAGTTATGTCAGCGTAACTCAAAGCGAAGCTAGCCACGCGCATACGGCCAGCTAGTCAGTCAGCCAACCGGCCGGGAGCGTCGGCGCGAGTGACAGTGGTGCTCCACGACGCGGGAGATTTCATCCCCCTACGCGTCAGCGTCCGCGTCACGGCACGTCGAAGCGGGATGAACGGCACGACCGATAGGGGTGAGGGTAGGGATCCTGCCGGTTTCGCTCGCGCGCTCCACGGGGTTGCGATAGTGGGGGAGGTAAAGAGAAGGGGGATCGCCTCGTGGGGTGGCAAAGAGAAGGGGTAGTGCCTCGTGCGCGAAGTTGGATATACCGTATTTCGCGGCAGGTCGGGAGTTCAGTCTCGACGCGGCAGCGATACTCTAGTGTCGCGTGACACACGTGCGACACCGAGGCACACGTGTATGACGAGAATCATGGGTGAGATACGTGCCGTGCTGTGCCCGCGCCGACGACAGGTACCCCTTCTGGTAGTGACCACTCTGTTGGTGGGTGTTCGTACGGAGCTAGTCGGTGAGTAAATTATGTATTGTTTTTTTTTCTTCTGTGTGGTCCCGCGACTCGACTCGTTTTCATCGCGTAAGTCATCGTCGTGCCGAAATGACGTTAATGTCATCATCATCTGTCAAAATGATTATTGGAACTCGAAGAAAATCGCGCGATACGTTTGTGTGAAATTTGTGAGGAAATAAATTCTCTTTGGGTCCACGTGAACAGATTGTTCACAGTTTGTTGATAATGGAACAGTGCGATCAGGAACTATGTAGCATTTAATAATTTGAATATAACAAAAATTAACAAACTTTTTGAAGCTTATTAAAAAAAATAATTAAAGAGTAACAAAAGAGAACGTACTCGATCTTGGTGTAAAGTTGTAATAAAGTAATAACAGCAATTAATTGTTAAATGTTTCGGTTATTATTTAACCATCTTCAGTGACAAACTTTAGAACAGCAGTGATATCAGTCAAAAAACAACGATCTATCTCGACATATCAAACGGAAATCCGTTTAATTAGACATAAAATTCATATCAAACGGAATTCTGTTATGTCGAGATAGATCGTTGTTTTTTGACTGATATCACTGCTGTTCTAAAGTTTGTCACTGAAGATGGTTAAATAATAACCGAAACGTTTGACAATTGATTGCTGTTATTACTTTATTACAATTTTACACTAAGATCGTGTACGTGCTCTTTGCCCATTTGTTACTTTTTAATTATTATTTACTAAGCCTAACTAGTAAAAAGCGTGTTTATTAAAAAATCTTGCTTTTTCTTTAAATTTTTTGTCATATGTATTTGATTTTTTCTTTAAGACAAACTATATTATAAAATATGAATATTTTTATTTCTTATTTGAGAAGAGTGTAATTAAAATTAAAGTAAAAGATTAAGAGAAATTCTTGAATGGTTATTGTATCTCGAGCTGTGATTAAAAGCTAATGTAATCTTTTAGTAAGAAATTTTTAAATTATTCAAGAGATTTTAAAGAGGGATTATGTCACCAAGAAAAGTTTGTAAGAGATATAGAATGGAATATCTCTAGCAATTATTTTTTTATAATATTGTATTCTTTTTATAACACGGCAGTTGGATTTTAATATCTCAAATAATATTTTCGCTAGTGTTAGTTAAAACTTACGTAAACATGTTTATCAGTAAAATCGGAAATTAACACGGAGAACGATCGGTTTTTATAAGTTAATTGCTGGATCTAATCGCGATGGTTGGCGTGACAGGAATTTCGATGTTCGGCTTGCGTTATGGTTTTAACGCGTTTCGATTTGTTCACGAGGAAATCGTGCGACGAATAATTCATTTCACTGCCTTCATCGAGCTCGGCTTTGCCACTTTTCAGTTTTGTTCATGACGTTTACGAGAGACAGTGGTGATTTGATTTTACATTTTATTTTTAAATTATGAACATTGCTATCTGCGGTTGTATGTCACCGTATTGTAAATGACATTCCTTTTCTCTTGCAAAATATTCGCGTATCTGTCTGAACATTCTAATTAAACATGTACGTATAACGATATATTATAATTTGAACGAGAATCATTAAAATAATATTCCTATAATATTTCAAACATAAATTAGAAATATGATTAAATTCTTTTTCGTATATTGCAAGTTGTGCAATGTAAAAGAAAAGTCAAGAGAAATAGTAATCTTTTTTTTTCAAGTTGCATAAAAATTTATTTTTAGACGAAATATGGAAGATGACATACGTTTATCATAAAATTTCGGAACTGCATCACTTAGTTTATATAACGTGTGGATGCTGCAAATTTTCTTTTCTGTTGCCTTATTGAAGAAATTTTCACTTGCCGATGTGTCACCGTGCAATTCTAGACACATCCTCGCAACACATATTTTCCTTCGCGAAAAAGGCGTGTTTATATCGCTCGATTCCGTTTTATGCCGTACTTGACAGTTTCAGCAAAACTTTCGAGATCGAAATTGTTTCATATTTGTGAAAATTATCTGTGAAATAGATTGTCCTCTGAACTAACAATACAATGCACAGAGATTTATTTTTGAACGCTCTTCCAGTAGTTGTACCTTTAAACGTTATTGTTTCACTTAATATTGTTCATATTTTGTGAGAGTTACCTATATTACAATAATTATGTCGCCTGATATCAGCGTAATAAAATATAATCTTTACCTTTGTAAAATAACAACAATCATTTTTTCGCACACGATAAAGAATATCGGAGCAAAATAGCCAGAATAAGATTAAAATCTGTTATTTATTTTTCCAATTAGCATTTTTATTTAAATTTGCAGATATCTTTTACCGAGTGTGTTATCTAAAATATACGTTCTAATTTGTTAATTAAGTGGTAGGGCAATTTGCAATAAGTTTACCGTTAACTGCATGTATTGTATTTTGGAGCAAGAAAAGTTGCGCGAGAAAAGAATGTTTATGGGATGGAAAGTTGGGTCGTAACATTATCGTACTAATAAAGCACGCAAAATGCTTAATATAGGTGTGTAAATTGAGTTGCGTCCTTATGAAATTATAAAAAAGTTGGCATGTGTAACAGGTGGTTTGGTGGCAATTTTGCTCGATATTCGTAAGAGATCAATCAAAGTTAGTACACATAACTCTCCTGAATAATAATAGGATTATGTTCACGTCTCAATTATAGAGATCTTTACGATCGAATTATAATGAATCATATCGAGATGAACTGGTACACAGCGACAATTCGATTATTACGCTACTTTTAAATATTTCATTAACCCTTCTGAAAAAGATCTATCCGTAGCAAATAATTTACAAAAATCTAAATGACATTTGAATAACATTTTCTTCTTATAAATGATGTATAATGAAATGAATTTTGCATTTACATAAAAAAAAGATCGTGTATAGAATTGTGCTTTTAAGGATGGACGAGTTTTCCATTAAATTCTTCAGCATTATTAATGTCAAAGCAATCAAAACGCTTTACAAATGTCTCGGGTGTCGCGGCATCGAGTTTGCAAGACGAATCCGAACGATCATGTATTTCAATAACATTTGCTTTCTCTCTCCCCGCTCTCTATCTCTCTCTTTTTGCATTAATATGCGATAGAGTAACGGGTATTCGGATGGTTAATATTGTGAAGTGTAATTTATCGCGTTCGCGCGACATGCTTTTCAAACATGAGATACGACGCATCATTTCTGACCGTTTTTCAAGGAGTTATTTATGCCCGGGGCTCTCAGAATAACATCGATGCACCAACACCATTATGTTGGCATGATATTTTTGCTGCGCCGCGCCGGTATGTAAATCACTTGTCGTAGAGCGTATTATCGATCCGCGACCAAGAGTTTAGCTATTCATGTTTCACTAATTATTATTATCTACAATTCTCCTTGCCGGTTTTAATACTGCGACCAAGTGAGAACGGAAATGCGAAGGGAATAATGTAAAAATGTGTATCATTACACAGTGGTTTACAAACGGACTCTAGCTTTTTGCGTGCATTTTTGTAAACGCATCTGTGCAACGCGAAGCGCTTTGTTATCACACTTTGGTTTGTTATCTTTCTGGCCAACTCGCTTGTCATAATTTTGTAGTTCTCAGTAGGAGAAAACTATGTCCGGCAGTCTGTCGTCAAATTTAACCGTTTGCACAAACGTTTCACATATTCTCATTTGTAAAAGGGGTAAGCTGAAAATACAGAAACGTAATTGTATTTAAATTTTGGCGTCTGTTTGCGATACTTGGAAACCGTCATTGTATGAATATTTTAACGGATAAATCGATTATTCTATTAAAATAGATACAATGTGGAGCTTTTAATTTGGGAAGCAGAAATAGATAATATTAACTCCTTATTCGTGTAACATTTTAAGGTTTGTACAACTTGACGCGGGTTATTTATATCGATTATTTTTGTAAACTTATTTTCGAATCAGAAAGAAATATTTTTATCGGCTCTCAATATTAAGAATATAAATATTATGTTTTTTTTTTTTTAATTGGCCAACAGAGCCAAAGCACGAAAAATTAATTATTCGAAACTGTATCTCTTGGTTTGAGCCGCTTCAGCGACTTTTCGGACCTATATTTTTCGCGCCTATTTCTCCATATGTAAGTTTTGAGATTAATTTATATATGGAATTTAGTGATCTCAAACCAAGAGATACAGTTCCGAATAATTAATTTTTCGTGCTTTGGCTCTGTTGGCCGATTTAAAAAAAAAAAACATATTTATTTTCGAATGTTAACATATTTATATTTTTAGATTTATCAGAAAATAGTACTACACAAATATATTTTATTTAAACCCAATTTAAAAGTATTTTTGTATTAAATCGGTAATCTTCTAATTAACATATCGAAATTAGATTGACAAATATAAGAAACGAATTTGTAAACATCTGTTTAAGAGTCGACACATAATTTCACTGAAAGTCGAAATAGACAGATGCCAGATCCGCAAGTATCATCCAAATCCTTTGCCCATAAAATTGATCAAATTCTGAGATACGCCGCACTGGCAAACGCTTTGGATCCAATAAAGAGGATTAAGTGTACTGAGCTGTAAACACGGTGTGATTGAATTCTGGGGGCGCTGAGGAAATTCCTCCCCCATGCTCTCTTTCTCTTTCTCTCCCTTAGTTTCTCATTTCTTTCTCTCGGTCTCTCGTTTGTTTTCTCTGTTTCTTCTCCACCCTTCTTTCGAGTGTTATAGTTTTCTCCTTTGTTTATGTGCCCTTACACGGCCGTGCAAGAAAACAAAACGGTCGTGCCAAGCTTCTTCCACTTTCATTACCACGGAAAATGTCGCGACGTTTATCTTCACGTAAATTGGACGCCCTCGTACCATGTGCAAGATGGTCCGCTGAGTTTTATGCGAATTTTTGCCTAATGGAGTGTGTGATTGCTCTCGTAGTCTGATATAAATGGTCAGTTGTATAGTTGAAAGGTCGATTCCCAAGACAGTCTTTTGCATTTTGCAATTTATATTTTATACATATTTAATTATTTAAAACATACAATGCGAA